CATTAACCAGTTATGTTTGTTCGAATTGACTTCGGATTAGACGTGATTAATTCCGAATTCACTGGTTACACAAATCAGGAAAATTTAGAATTTAGCTGGACTAATTCCGGATGACAAAAACCTGACAATAAACCGAACTGTTTCGAAATTCCCTGATGATTTCAGCAGTAATTTCCAGTAGAAATTAAATCCAACGGAATTTCGATTCTCTTCGTGGAACTCCCTCTAGCTCCCTAGAGATATCGATATTAATTTCCGGTGGAATTTTGAAAGAATAATTTCATGTCCCTTCAGAAAAGATTTCTGCAAAGAATTCCCTGATAATTCCAGCAGTAATTTCCAATAGAAATTAAATCCAACGGAATTTCGATTCTCTTCGTGGAACTCCCTCTAGCTCCCTAGGGATATCGATATTAATTTCTGATGGAATTTTGAAAGACTCATTTCATGTTCCTTCAGAAAAGATTTCTGCAAAGAATTCCCTGATAATTCCAGCAGTAATTTCCAATAGAAATTAAATCCAACGGAATTTCGATTCTCTTCGTGGAACTCCCTCTTGCTCCCTAGAGATATCGATATTAATTTCCGGTGGAATTTTGAAAGAATCATTTCATGTTCCTTCAGAAAAGATTTCCACAAAGAATTCCCTGAAGATTCCAACAGTAATTTCCAATAGAAATTCAACGGAATTTCCATTCTCTGTGTGGAACTCCCTTTAGCTCCCTAGGGATATCGATATTAATTTCCGATGGAATTTTGAAAGACTCATTTTATTTTCCTTCAGGTAAGATTTCCGAGAAGGATTCCCTAAAGATTCCAATAAATTTTCAATGCTCTTCCGGCGGAATTGTAATTCCACTGTATTTTCGATTCCCTTCAGGAAAGATGTGTCGTAATTCCACCGGAAATTATAAGTCTCAAGTTCTATAAGAACTGTTCACTGTCGGCGTAAAAAACATGTTGCCTTCTGACCAATAGTCACTATTTTGGTTAATATTTCGGAATGTGGAATTAATCCGAAACAGTCAGCTTTCAAGTCGGGTTTCTATTAATCCGGAATTAGTTCGATTAAGTACGAAATTAGTATTATTTGTGTCACAAGTAAATCCGGAATTAATCCGAAATAAACTAATAATCAGTAAATCTAGAATCTGCATTTACTAGTTATGTTTGATCAAACTGACTTCGTATTAGACCTGATTAATTTCGGATTCACTGATTACACAAATCAGGCAAATTTTGGATTTAGCTGGACTAATTCCTGATGACAAAAACCTGACAATAAACCGTGCTGTTTCGGACTAATTTTAGATTAGTCCTAAAGCATTCTGGAATTTTTACTTTGCAACGCAAATTTTTTTAAAACCTAAACTAAATTTGCATTTTCTTCCTACAAGGACTACTTAACAAAAGAGGAGAATCGAAAAAAGGATATTTTAAAAGCTAGAAAAAAGGTGGAACTATTTAATACGAAATAAAATTTAAAGGAGATTAAAAAGATAAACAAAAATGTTAAAGAGTTAGAAAGTTAGTTAGATCTAAAAAAAACACATTCAAAGACCGTGATACTTAAAAAATATATTTTCAAAATAAATGTCTCAGTTCTCGATGTAAAATGTCTATAGATATTTAAGAAACTTTTATTAATGTTTAGATTATTACGTACCGAGAATTCTTCTCTATGTTTGATTTACTTACACAATAGGAGGTTAACCTTGCGATCATGTTTTCAAAACAAAAACCATCTTCGGGTCGTCGATTCGTCGGTTGAACGTGTTTCGATAGATAATAATAGAAAGTTCAATCTTATTACAGAATTCGTTGTGATCGAGTTATCGTGAAAGCGATAACTGGAAAAATTGTGCTATTGTTTTTTTTCTTTTTGTAAAATGATTCTGTCAGGATTACATATCTTTCGCGATTAATAGATATCTTCCCTTTAGGGAATCTATTCTCATCTTTGAAGCAAATATCATTCGTTGGAGTGACACATCCATCATTTCTATTCACAGATAGCACAATATATTCCAGGAACCTTTCAGAAATGTTTCAATAAAAAATGGGAAATATTTCTTTGGAATATTTTTGAAAGATTCTGAAAGATTCTTTAAACACTTAGATATAAATATTGCCAGTAATTTGACTCTCAATTCACTTTCACGTCACTTTCAATTAAGACAAGTTTAAATGAACTGAAAGTGAAATAAGAAAGTTAAATTAAAGGTGTAAGTAAGAGATAAATGTAAGTGAAGTGAAAATGAACTGACAGTGAAGTGAAGTGAAGTGAAAGTGAAAAAGAAAGGGAAAAGGCAAATGTAGTGAGTAAATGAAAGTTAAGGTGGAAGTGAAAGTGAAATTCAAGTGAAATTACAATGAAGTGAAAGTAAAGTGAAGTGAAAGTGAAGTAAAGTGAAAGTAAAGTGAAAGTGAAGTGAAAGTGAAGTGAAAGTGAATTGAAAGTGAAGTGAAAGTGAAGTGAAAGTGAAGTGAAAGTGAAGTGAAAGTGAAGTGAAAGTGAAGTGAAAGTGAAGTGAAAGTGAAGTGAAAGTGAAGTGAAAGTGAAGTGAAAGTGAAGTGAAAGTGAAGTGAAAGTGAAGTGAAAGTAAAGTGAAAGTAAAGTGAAAGTGAAGTGAAAGTGAAGTGAAAGTGAAGTGAAGTGAAGTGAAGTGAAGTGAAAGTTAAGGTGGATGTGAAAGCGAAATTACAGTGAAGTGAAAGTGAAGTGAAAGTAAAGTGAATTTAAAAAAATGTGAAGTGAGAGTGAAGTGAAAGGGAATAGGAAAGAGAAAGTGTAGTGAGTAAATGAAAGTTAAGGTGGAAGTGAAAGTGAAATTCAAGTTAATTACATTGAAGTGAAAGTGAAGTGAAAAGAAAAGTGAAAGAAAATGTGAATTAAAAGTTTTATTATCAAAAAACAAATTGACTTAATCCAACTTGATACTAATTTATCATGAACTCAGATAACATCGCTTATTTTCATTTTAAATTTTCGATAAAGAAAATGAGTTTCAAAAGTTCACTAAACATAATTTGATAAGTATACAATAATTTCTACAATAATTGGCATCAGATAATTATAAAGCAGTGGTTTTTTTTCTAACTCAATCAGTAGGTGATTTACCAGGAATCAAATAAATTATATTTATAGCTACAAAATGTAATAACTGTCAGAATTAAGTTTGTGGATGAGAACTTTTTTATTTATTTTTATTGCAAGTCAAAAAAAAGAAATCTAATTTTTGTATTCCTTTAAAAATTATATCTATAAAAAAAAGAAATACAATTTTTTTCTTACTAAAATTAGTCGAAATTTACTCGAAAATATTAGGAGTATCATTTTTATTTTATTAATTATTATATATAGATACATATATATATTCAAAAATTATTACGTGACAAATAAAACTGACTTTTATGTGAGGAAACTTTTTATTTTCTTGAAATTGAGAAATTTTTTTGCTATTTTTTGTTCTATTTTTTGTTTCTCTATCCTCGAGAATTGTATCAAAAAAAAGAAGAAAAAGAAAAGAAACTGCTCAGTGTAGAATGAAGAGATCTGTTGTGTTCTCGACAATTCCTCCGTATATCCAATTTTCCGAGGAAATCAATTTTTCTGATTTTATATCCTCGATAATCTACCAGAAGTCTGTTTTTACTTGTAAAGATAAATTTTTTAGAATAGCATAAAAATATATATATGTTTATTATTATCGTAAACTACAATCTCAAAAATGGATAAATTAGAAAAATTGTTGTCATATCTTTTTTTTCCATTGCTTCATAAATTATATATAATATGTAAAAAAGAAAAAGTTATTTATTTGACTTTTATTAATGTAAATTAAAATAAAAAATTAATTTTTATAAAAGTTGTTACCTTCAATAAAATACAATTTAAACTTTAGTCGGGATATTAAAAGAAAGTTTTTGCAATTTAACTTTACAATTTAATTTTATAATTAAATACAAAAATATAAAATTTTCTCATTTATATTACAATGGTTATAATTATTTTTTAAAAATGAAACGTTTAATTAAATATTTTGTTACAATATTTATGTTGAAAAATTTTTGACAAAAAATATTTTAATAAGCATAATTGTCATAAGTTGAATTATTAATTAAACGCAGTTACATTTTGTTTACTGAAATTTAATTTTTATAATTTAGTGATATTCTTGAGTCATCCATAATTTTTTTTTTGGTGAAGATATCCATAAATCTCCATAGGTAATGCACGGAAATATCCATCAAAAATACAAGAATATTATTAAGTTATCCATAGGTTCATTCATCAGGTAAAATATTTGTTAATGGATATCTTTGGATCATCCATAGGATTATCCATAAGAATATCCATTGATATTTAATGGTCATCCATAGATTTATCCATCCAGATATCCAGTGATATCCCTAAGCCATCCATTGGTTTCTCCACTAGAATATCCATTGGTTTATCCATCAGGATATCGATTGATATCCCTGGGCCATCCATTGGTTTACCCATCAGAATATCCATTGGTTTACCCATCAGAATATCCATAGTTTTATCCATCAGAATATCCATAGGTTTATTCATAAGGATATTGATAGATATCCCTGGGCCATCAATTGGTTTATCCATTAAAATATCCATAGGTTTACCCATGGATGTCCCTGGGTCATCTATAGGTTTAACCAACAAGATATCTGTGGATAATTAATAAATTTATTTATGAGGATATCATTAGTTATCTCTGGTTCATCTATTGGTTTATCCATTAAATCCATCCATTATCCATTATCCAATATCAATAAATATCCCTGCATCATCTATAGGTTTATCCATTAAGTAAAATCTTCGTGATCCAAAGATTTGTCCAACAATATATCAATGAATATTTCAGTATCATCCACAGATTTATCAATAAATATCCATGGATATCCCTGTGTAATTTATCAAGATATCTATGGATTCATCCTTGAGAATATCCATAGGTATCACTGGGTCATCTATTGGTTTATCCACTAGGTCCATTCATTATGTAATCCCCTGGGTCATCCATAAGTTTATCCATCAGGATATCCATTGATATCCCTGGGTCATCCATTGGTTTATCAATCAGGATATTTATTTGCTTATCCATCAGGATATTCATCAATATCCCTAAGCCATCCATTGGTTTATCCATCAGAATATCCATTGGTTTATCCATCAAGATGTCCAATGGTTTATCTATCAGAATATTAATTGGTTTATACATCAGGATGTCCGTTGGTTTATTCATCAAGATATTAATTGGTTTATCCATCAGGATATCCATGAATATCTCTAGGTCATCTGTACCTTCAGTTATCAGGATATTCATTGATATTCTTGATATACAAATATCCTAATGGATGAACCTATGAACGACCAAGACCTTTTATTTCTGGAAATCCTGATGATTTTACCCATAAATAAGAATATTTTACAAACATCTGAATTTTCTAAATATAAACGATCACAGTATTTACTAATTAATTTAATGATCTTAATGTAATTTCACCGTTCTTTAGAGGTAGTATAAACCTTTGAACATCAAAATTTATTGAAACAAAAAAAAAAAAAAAAAAGTACGGTCGAAACTAAAGGAAACAGCAGTTTGGATTATTATGAAGGGTACTCGTGTCTTTTATGCCCGTTCCACTTTTATATCAAGAAGATTTTTCCTTGTCCTGGGGGACAGTAATCCCAAATGTAGGTAGCACTCCCGTAATGGCAACGGGTACCTGGTGAAACACTCATTCAACCAACTCAATCGACTGCAATGCAAATAAAATTGAGTCCCATGGGATAAAAATGAGGTCGATAAGAACTTAAGATAAAAGAGAAATATTATTCTTCTCTCTTCTTAACTTCCTCTTCCTCTTTCTTCCCCCCCTCCCCCTACTTCAATTGGTTCATCCATCGAGATGCTTCTTCGACGTGATTTTTTTACTTTTAAGCCAACGACTTATTGACTTATATATAGTATCCCATTCGTCCCACATTTGATTTATCATAAAAAATTGAGCCACCAGAAATAAGAAATTATCTCCTTAAGTACCCTATAAAAAAAAGTTTCAAAACAATGAAAATCTAGTTTCACATCAGTGAACTTGATAAATGTAACAAAACAATAAATAAAAATTAAATAATAACTAATTTTCAATAAAAATTCTATCCAATATAGATATATTCAATCCGTTTTCTCAGCATGATAAAAAAAATAATTTGGGCAGTATTCCAATTTTAAAATTCAAATATCATTTCTCTCTTTAATAAATATATTATTGAACCTTTCATCAGGAATACATATCATTTTTAACTTTGTATATATATATATATATAAAATCTGTATTTTGAAACTTTTGAATAAGAAAGTTTAATCTTTATATTAACTTTCTGTTCCAGATACACAGTTGAATGAAATTTTAATCATCATTTTCCATGAAAAGAAATACCACCTCTCTTGCCACTTCCCTACATCTTTGGTGATTTATCTTTTAAGCTAAAGTTCCCTAAGATGCCCTGATAGATGGTTTCTATTGCTAAACTTCATACCAAGAGAGAAGACGGACCAAAATTTCTTAATCAGTGCAAGTAGTCTAACTTTCCTTTGATGCATATTAAGATATTTGCAAAACTTTTGAATATAGTCTATTACAATTTATTCTGAGTATAGCCTTTGGAATAAAGGTTTTTTCTTAGATGGAAAAAAAAATATTCGTATTTTGATGTTAACAATTAAAAAAGATTTGTTGAAATATCATTATTAATTAATTATTATTTATGATTTAAATTAATTCTAATTCTTTTAACGTCAACTGGGGCTATTATACTCACCCTGGGGCAATTATACTCAGTGTCAGTTTTTAATTAGTAAAATATTTATATTGAAATATTTAAACTTGACGCTTGATATAAATATATTGTTTGATATTTTTATTATAGAGAGAACCAGGATTCTTTTTATACATAACCTTAAAAAAAGTAACTCATTAAGATTTATGTGTTTTTCAAGTAACTTTTGCTGCTAAAATAACTTAAAAAGCTTATTAGAAATTATACTGAGTTTACTTAACCAAACAATTATACAGTCTTACTGCGAACATTTGTTACATAATCCCTCACAACAAAAGGATATCCTAAACTAATGTAGAATATCCTGAAAACGTCCATAGGATATCCAAGGATATTCTCAAAACATCCAAATCGCCGTTACGTAGGATATTTTTGGGATATCCTGGGGATATACTGAGGATATTCTGGGATATCCTGAGGATATTCTAGGGATATTCCAGGGATATCCTAGTGATATCGTGGGGATATTCTTGGGATAAACTTGGTATATCGTTGAAAATATTCTAGGAATATCGCTAAGATCTCCCTAGGATATCATTATGATTCAAATTTTGACTATTTGAGATAGCGATTTTTTGATACAAATAGGTTTCCCGTGATTGTCAATCATCTTTTAAATCTGGGCCTTAAAGTTGATAATTAGAGCATATATTTAAGCCAAAAATGCGATTTTCGACACTTTAAATTCGTTTTTTATGGGACTGACCGAATGAAAAATTTTTGTTCTAACACACGCACCAAAAGTACACCATTTCTTACCTGTGTAGCGGGAGAAAAGTGGAAAATCATCAAAAACAGTTTTTTTTTCATAAAACAACGTGATAAAAAGAAAAAACGTGGTATAATCGTTCAATGTTTTTACCACCTGAAAACTGTCATATTGGTTCCACATTATGTGCAATATGACCATTATTGGTCCATTAATGTGTGAATAAAGGCAACTATCCCATTTTGCCCCTACGTCCCCCTAAATTGTCTGCAGAAAAGATTTCATATAACTAAAGCTGTATCAAAAAATGTTGATGATATTTTATAAATAAACAAACTGCTGAGTATAATAGCCCCAACTGCAAGACTATTATACTCATCACTTTAAATTTCTATAACTATAGTAAGAAAATTTTTTTGTCTAACTTACAGAATGTCAGACGAACGTCTACAATATAATGCAAGAGTATAAAATTTTTTTTATTTAAATTCTGAATTTTGGTGAAGCACTGAATAAAAAAGTACCATTTTTTCGAGTATAATAGCCCCGATTGACGGTACTTTAAGGATCATCATTAAAGACAAAAATTGTTTCTAATCTTATTAAATAACAGATTTTTAATTTAATTAATTTCAAGTGGAATATGTTACTTTCAGAAAAACCACTTTCATCATCGTTAATTAGCTTTGTAATTTAATTCTCAATTATAATGTGACAAAAAAGTAAAAGTGTTATCTCAAAAAGATTTGACTGTCATTCACTCTGAAATATTGATCACGTTGACCAATTCTAGAGGTCAATGTTTTATATTTTTGTATTCGGGTAATTTCCTTTTCTCACTTTCCTCTTAAAACGATCTTTATTATTATTATACTAAACTTATTTAGTAATCTATCTACAATAATAATTTTAGCAATATACAATCCATCTGTAATTAAAATAAAAAATTGAAATCTCTGGATTATATCTTCTATTCCATTTAAAATAGATTTCTATTTAAGATTGTATTTATAGAACAATATTCCGTAATTATTTTTTTTAAAATGTTTTTAAGTCAACAATATTAACCCAACAATTAATTTATCGAAAAAATTCAAATACTATAATAATTTATCCTTGGAATTGAAAAAAATTATTTACTTTAGTAATTGATACAGAGTTAGAACATTGACCCCTAAAGCAACAATTGTTTGCGATAAGGCTGTAGAGTACGGTGTGGTGATATAAAAAAAAAATTTCGATCAATAGACATCTACAATACTGATCATTTTAGTTAATTGAAAAATTCAAATTTTAATTATTGTTGAAATAGATTACTGCAATTGTAATTTTAAGGGATTTAATCAAAATATTTGTGAATGATTTTATTTAGAAGGTCATAATTGCTAATACTAATAATCTTATCAAAAGATCTCCTAAACTATAAACCCTCGGAATATTTAGATCTACTGTATTAGTAGTCATTGAACACATGGTACTTCACTTACCGTTTGATTTAATTGGCCATGCAATTCCATTAATGTATTCACACTTTGAAAAAAAAAAACTACACAATTAAACTTTTGTAATTTAACACTCTTTGTAGGACAAATTCGTCTGATTGATCTTATTTAAAGCTAAAGGATCAAAGGCTTCCTAAACAATGTAGCACGATTAGAACAAACACACTAAGACCCCCTAGGAGACGCGCCGGCTGATTCAAAGAGGGAATACCACCCTGAAAGTTTAGGTCACTAGGTGGATGAACTTTGGGTGGCACTTGGCCTCCTTTGAAGGAGATCTTCGAATGCAGTCATACATCCTGTTGCAGGAGGAAAATCACTTGAAAAAATTAAAATTAAGTCATTAAGGAAAGGTTATGTGAATCATTTTTTTTTTTTTTGAATTAAAGATCACAAAGTGCACGTGACACATACACACACTACTGTGAAGGCCGCAATGAATGGCAAAAGATACCGGATTCCACGTGTCTCGCGACTGATCCTGATCGGATCGTATCGAAATACCTACTAGAGGCGCGAGGTTGTTTTTGCAGGGTCGACGGCCCCCACTTTCTCTGGTTCAGTTGACGTCGACGTTCGTGTAGCGACGGCGCACCAGGACTCCCCCTTTTCCACCTTCTGCCAAAACCCCCTTTTCCCACCACTTTTCATCCCTCCACCCCCTCAACAACGCTCTCCTCTCTCTTACGAACCTTGATCGATCCGATGTGAAGTTGCCTGCTCTCTCTCTCTCTCTCTCTTGCTCTCTCTTCTTCTTCCTCTCGCAAACATAGAGTGAACGTGTGCCTCAGAATATTGGACTCCTGTTTTGCGAGATGTGAGTACGTGTAAGCTCTCTGTGGATGTGCAATCACGAAAAGGAGCACAGAGAGGTGATCGTCAGCCGTGAACTTTGGAGAATGTTAGACTGGTTGCTCCTACCTTCTGTCCGTTGGAGAGCCTGTGAAAGTGAGCATTGTGCCTTAATCTGAAGAAGAGAGATGAGAGGAAAGTTTAATTGAAAAGTCGCCTCAATTTTTTTTTGTTCACTGTCCAAAAGAGGGTCGTAACAAAATTTTGGTCTTGCGAAAAAAAATGAGTATTAACTGATCCGGATGTAGATATCAGTACTTGAAATATTTGCTCACACATACTAAAAGTGAACTTCAAAGAAGAGGATTCAATTACACTAAACTCTAAGATTGACCTAGAAAAATAATAATATTTAAAGGGACACAATTACCAGTCACGGCAGTTCAGATTTAATCAATTCAGTTCAAAATCAGTAAGCAGTGAGTCAAGGTTCATATCAGTTTTTAAGTGCAGTTAACCAACCAGACAGTCAATTACATAAAAGTTTCTAACATGAAAAACTATAAACGGGAATTTAGTAGACACGGTAGTTACCCATTCAAGAACAACGATGATCGGTTATCTCAAAATCAGGGTAGTAAAAGTTGTAATACAACCAGAGGAATACCCATATGGTCGGTGATCTACGATCATAACTCAGCACCTGAAAGGACCAGTCACCTAGAGCTACCAACAAAGCCGTTACATCAAATAGCTAAAATCACAAATACCTAAATAAAAAGAATTGTTTGATGATATATGAAGTACGCCCTGGTTAAAATTTTGAACCGATTTTAGATTAAATACAAAGCGATCAGTCCGGACTAGTCCAGAAATTGAAGAAAAACAAACCGAAAATGATATGTATTAGTCTGAATAAACAGATAAATCCGAAATCAGTTTGGAATAGTCCGAAATTGACATGAAATAAATCCGCAATTAGTATGCTAACAATTTTATTTTAGTTAGATCAAAAAATAATCCAAAATGAGTCCAGACTAATCCTGAATTTTTATGTAAACTATCTGCGAATAGTACGCAACAATCCAGATAAAAGTACTATCAAAATACTAAATCGACATAAGTCAGTAATAATCTGAAATCTTTATGTGGAAGATCTGGTATTTATTTGTAATTAAAATATTTATTGGCGAAATTCTGAGCTATATGATTTGGTTTTATTTAACCTACATGTAGTAAAACCTAAAATGAGTCCAAAATAATTTAGAATTTTTATGTAAACTATCCGCAAACAGAACGCATCAATTCGGATTAAGTAGGGTCGAAAAACTAAATCCGGCATGAAGCCGTAATAATCTGAAATATTTATGTGGAAAATCCGGTATTAGTCAACAACAATGATGATTTTGTACATATTAATTCCGGAATTACTTCAGATTAAAATGTTATACCAGATTAAGACCGGATTATCGCTGACTAATACCGAATTTCTTACATAAAAACTTCGGATTATCCCGGATTTATATTAGGTTAAGATTTTTCATCGAACTCGAATCGAATTTATTATTAAATCCAACGGAATTTAGATTCTCTTCATGGAATTCCCTCTAGTTCCCTAGAGATATCGATATTAATTTCCAGTGGAATTTTGAAAGAATCATTTCATGTTCCTTCAGAAAAGATTTCAGCAAAAAATTCCCTGAAGATTTCAACAGTAATTTCCAATAGAAATTAAATCCAACGGAATTTCGATTCTCTTCGTGGAACTCCCTCTTGCTCCCTAGAGATATCGATATTAATTTCCGGTGGAATTTTGAAAGAATCATTTCATATTTCTTCAGAAAAGATTTCCGCAAAGAATTCCCTGAAGATTCCAACAGTAATTTCCAATAGAAATTAAATCCAACGGAATTTCGATTCTCTTCGTGGAACTCCCTCTTGCTCCCTAGTAATATCGATATTAATTTCCGGTGGAATTTTGAAAGAATCATTTCATATTTCTTCAGAAAAGATTTCCGCAAAGAATTCCCTGAAGATTCCAACAGTAATTTCCAATAGAAATTAAACGGAGTTTTGATTCTCTTCGTGGAACTCCCTCTAGCTCCCTAGGGATATCGATATTAATTTCCGATGGAATTTTGAAAGACTCATTTTATATTCCTTCAGGTAAGATTTCCGCAAAGAATTCCCTAAAGATTCCAATAAATTTTCAATGCTCTTCCGGCGGAATTAGAATTCCACTGTAATTTCGATTCCCTTCATAAAAAATGTTTCGTCATTCCACCGGAAATTATTAGTGAAATCTCCAGAAAGCTCTTCTGAGGATTTTTTTCCAACTGGATAATTTTTTTCAGTCGCTGAAGTAGGTATACGTCTAAAAAAAAATTGTACCTCAATTCCCCAAATTAGTAATCACGTCAAAATAAATGGAAATGATAAAAATTAAGAAATATTACGTGTTATTTAAAATTATGTATATATATATGATAAATGGATTCACTTTTGAATATTAATATTGAATATTGAATGAAATAGAATTTTCACAATGATATAGTTACCCTGGACAATGGTTATGAATACGTATCGGCAAACTAAGCGATTGTTGACTAATTTGAAATTATTCTCAGACCAATGTAACTATTGAATCCATAACTGAGAGACTCACAAAGCCAACATATATTCTAACAAACAGAATCAAACTGTGGTTGAAAAGACAAACATGAAATTTTGACCAATGAAATCAATTAATTTTCGAAGCAGTTCCCCAATTCTGTAAATGTTGTTTTTTTTATTGAAAACAGAATGTATAAAATACTTTTCCAATTATTATACTTAAATGAATTAATTATTTATACTATAATCTGAAAAACCCTTGCGTATAATTTAGTTAAATACATTATTATATTTAGAAATCGATATCAATTTTTTTGGTATGAAATTACATTTAAAGTGATTTAAAATTTAATCTTCGTTATTAATAAATATTCTGTTTCGATGTTCCGAAAAAGGAATGTGTAATTTTACAAATAAGATAAGAGAATACTGTATGATTTATGAAACTTGACTTATCCCCATTTTATGTTCTGAAAATGTACAAAGTTGAGATTTTCGCGGAATACATTTGGTTAATTGAAATGTATCCTAACGTTTACTTAAAAAGTAATTTAAAACTTGTTCTTTTAGTGTAGGATTTAATTTCTCACATTTTTAGAATGGAATTGTATATTTCATACTAGTTCAACAGAAATTTGGTTTTAAAAAAAAGGATATACAAAAATTTATTCTTTGTTAGATTTACATCCTTTTAGTAATTACATACAAAAGTCGAATTTTCGAAAACCTTCAACATATTAGTTTTAAAAACTGAATTTTTCATTTTATTTAAAATTTTTGTTGATTCAATAATAAAAAAGAGAAAACTTTTTATATATTATTATCTGAATTTCGAACAACTCCAATATTTTTACATTTTGCAGATATAACTTTGAAGTTCTCTTTTTTTTTGCCAGTCACCAAAATATCACTGTTTCTAAAAGCTGCTTTTTGACGATATATTCTTATCAAGTCTACTCATATTTTACTATTTTTATAGTATTGAATGTTTTGTCCGCATTGTGAAACCTACCCTAAGCTATATTTTTTCCGTAAGCTGCCTTCAGAAAAATATTTGACCCAGAATACCTTTCACCCATAAAATCATATTGGACATAGATATCTGTTTTCCCTTGCATCATTTTGTCAATGTTGAAAAATATAAACACGAGATTATAAATTTGAAATACAATTTAAATATTAAAAACAATTTTAAAAAAAATTGGTACAGCAACATGCTAATTGTGCCAGAGAGAGATGGTAACTTTTAATTTAATTGTAAAAGTGAATAGCACAATTTAAAATGTGAGTTTAAAAAAATATATTTTTTTTTTGCTGAAAAAATATATTTTTAACATTCTCTTATGAATTTAGTAGAATAGTTTATAGTTGAAAAAAATATTTGTCTGTAATTTGAACATTTTAACCTTTCACTTTAACAACCTTATTAGTTAACTCTTTTGCAGCACATATAAAAGTAAACGTCCGAACGCCTGTTTTCTCGTTTTAATTAAGCTCGACCCTTTTCTTTTTTAAAAATTAACTAATGTTTTTTCTTCTCTGCAAACACTATTCTATTAAGCAACCTCTCGACTCCACGGCTTTTCAAAGTCTCTTTTATAACAGCTTTTTAATTCTTCCACAACCTGCAGAATTTCATTATATTTTACTTTCCAAACAATTTGTTTTTTTTGTAACCCATGTGCAAATTAGCTTCGCTTAATATATATAATAATTGGACGGAAAGTTGAGTCCACCTATCCTCTTATATTCAGCATTCATACAAATTAGACATTTTTTAAATAATTTTTAAAATAGTATTTTAATTTTATGGCAGAATGAGAAAGAAAATATTTTTTTTTTAGAAAACTTTTTAACATTATTAAATTATATCAATGATTTGAATTTTATGTTTGAAATTATATTTAGCATTTAAAAATGTATTGAATGATACATTTTTTTCAGAAAATAATCAGAAAAGAATGTTGTAATCAACTTTAAGAGTTAAATATCATGGTGTTATTAGAATGAATGTTATACATTTTATTTTATATTCATTTAATGAACCGTACTTCAATACTGTTTTTTATTTCCCAGTACTTTACACTTTCATTAAACGACTGTGAGCAAAATAGTCTCGTTTCAAATGACCTACTTCGCAAACACAACTAACCTTTGACGGATCAACATAAAGTCTACAAGCATATCGCAACCAGTGACTAGTTGTGGTCGACAGGTTTTTCATTAGAATTTCGTTACTTTAGTTTTGAATTACCATTTGAGAGTGGATTTAATATTAATAATAAACTACTTTACAAATACAATTGTCTTCTAATCGTTGTAAATTATTATATCTTTTTTTTTTAATTAATAGTAACCCTCACAGCACCGGTTTGGAAATCCCTAGGGATGTCCGAACCATCGGAATCAAATAAGATGTCCTAGGATGTCCCAGGGATATCCGGTGCTGTGAGGGAATATTTTTGGAATTTAAGGAAAATATATTTTTAATGGAATATTTTTAATTATTGACATAATGTAGTGTTTTGTTGTATTTGTAGCTACGACAGGGAACATTAATAGAATCCTTTATGGAGTCCCAATATTAAAATAAACGAACGGTTTTTCTGAACTTAAAGCAGGCAGCTGATTTGTCCTCCTGGACGTACCTAATGACACCAAACAATGATGATCTTCTTTTGATTGGGCAACACATAAAAACCAATCTTTATGCAGCCTAATTTCTCCAGCCTGTCCGTCTCCTCTGGGTCGGTGACTACAACTGTGAGCTTTATTCCTCATCGATTGGGTCCTGGAACCGTCACCTTCCTGCTTTCTGTCTTCTGGTGGATTTCCGCCAACGTTTTTTGGAACTCTTCTTCCTGGGTAAGGCAATCCAAGTCGCGGATTTCCAATGTGACCAGTCGATCCACGATCTGCACCTACCACATGCTTCCAATCGCTTTGGTGACATCAGCAGTAAATGCCTTCTTATTGGAGTCTTCTCCGATTTTGATCAGGAAATCTCCCTTTCTTATAGGCTCAGTGGCGAATGCCTACTTATTGGAGTCTCCTTCGATTTTGATCAGGAGATCTCTTTTCTTTGCAGCTCTCATTGCTACTACTCTCATGGCCCTTAAGTCCGGATTGGCATATATACGAAGCTTACTCAAAACGTCAGTACTTAAAGCCAATCCTTATGCGTCTTAATTTCTCCAGCCTGTCCGCCTCCTCTGGGTCGGTAACTACAACGGCGGGATTTGTTCCTCATCGGTTGGGTACTAGGACCGTCACCTTCCTGCTTTCTGACTTTCCGTGTTCATTTACCAACACTTCTTGGACCTCTTTTACCTGGGTGAGGTATAATCCGGGACACGAATCTCAAGAGTGATGCTTCGATTCACTTACCTGATCTGCCGACGTCCTTAATAACCTCTGCAGTGAAGGCTTCCTTGTTTGAGTCGCCTGAATTTTTTTTAGGAAGTCTTCCTTTCCTGTAGCTCTAGCAGTTACCACTCTTGTGTAACTGACGTCCAGATTTGACCTCTTTGCGAAGCTTACCTAAAACGTCAGCATACGAACAACCTCGACTGACCAGGACGATCATTATCTATTCCCTCGTCGTCTTTTTCTTCTTGCCAAAATTCTGTGGCAATAAAGGTACGAAACTATTTGGATATTATATTTTTATTCTGTAAATAAAAATCCTATATATTTTTATATCCAAATAAAGTAGAGTTTCTCAGTAAGTAACCAAACCGCTGTAATAAACTGAATGTTAATGTAAATCAACAGTTTAAACTAATCTTCAAAGTTGTTGAAAACCAACTTCAAACATCACAAGATTTTAATGCAAATAAAATAGCAGAAAACAAACATTGAAAAGATAATTAGTTTTCCTCTGAAAATTCAATCTGAATTAAAATTTTTCACTTTTAATTTTTCGATTTTCTAAAAAAAGTGAATAATTTTTTTTTTGAAATAGAATTTATTCAAGATAATGAGTTTTACATAAGAATCTGTACTTTGTCTTTTTTCAACAATCGCTATAAAAAGTGTTGCATTTCAAGATATAAATGAATCGCCTAAGGTAATGTTAAATGTACCTATGAATTTATACTCTATAATTTTACTGTGGAGTTAAATTACAAAATAGAATCTCTGATAATAGTTCTAAATTTGCCGCGGGTATTGGAACAACCTTATGATTTTGGACACAATTGTTCGGTTAGCGAATTCGTCTACTTGTCTGTTACTGTTCTCAAATTTTATCTTTTATTGAACTTAGACGTTTCTATTCATCCAATTAGTACAATTCATTCATTATCATTTACCATAAATTATTATGAAGGTATATATTTACTCATGGCCTGCCAGCTGAATATATTATTGTAGGATCAACATTATAATAATTAAACAAAGTTTGGAAACTGTATTTTCATCAATGCATTCAACTTACATCAACAAATTTGAAATGTGGTCCATCGCAGCTTTTGAAAAATTATTTTTAAAAAATTTATTTTCATTGACTCAATATTACCAAAACTTAACCGTCTATCAAAGATTCACTTAAAAGAGGCTATAAACTAATAAATTTATTAAAAAATATTATTTATTGTCTATAAATACATGTCTAGAACTTTAATAAACAACAAATTTTTTTATCAAAAGCTTTATGTGTTGTAACCATTTTAAGAAATTTTAATTAAAAGAAACAAATTTTTATGGACACTACCGTGTTCGGAAGAAACCAATTGTTTGTTGCAACAATAAATATTTATATAATAAATGACTGATGATTCATCTGGGTCTCAGTTAAATTAATACAATTGTTTATAAATATTGAAATATATATTATATCTACAATAATTATTTAAATATTCTTAAATATTTTTTTGTGAAATGATCGAAAACAAGAGGAAAACTTAAAAGAACTTGGAATATATAAGAGAGATCCTCGACAGACGTAGGTTCATAAGTGTAAGTGACGTTTCACAAAAGGAAAAGTACGATAAGAAGTAGGAGAAACAAGACGTAGAAAAAGGAATAGAAAATGCTGTGAGACAATTTTTCGATGGCACGAGAGGTCAAGAACAGAAATTTAACTTCAAGAAAGTTAAAAATAGTACCTCTTGTACATAAGTAGTAGCTTAAATAAGCATTTTTAAAAATATAATATTTTTTCTTAATTTTTTTATACACCTTACATTCAAAAAATAAAAAAATATTTTTCTTTTTTTTGAGAAATTATTTCACCAAGAGATTTTTAATTTTGAGTGAAAATAATTATCTTAAATTATATACTATAACGTAACTTTTCAGTTAAGTTAATTATGACGTTACGTAGATTAAATATACCAACTGAAGGTAAATAATTATTATATTAAAAAATAATTTTGATTATTACAGGAAAAAAGTTAATTAAATAAGCATAAAGTTACACAAATCTGAAAAAGGAAATAACGCACCTAGATGTTAAACAATTATTCTTCAAAAGATATGTTTAACGGTTGTTCATCTCGAAAACATTTTTTTGAATTAATAATTATTTAAGAAGCATTAAAATGTATTTATACTCGAAATGTTTTCTTAAATACATATAAGAATTGATTTCAAAAAAAGGAAAATATTTTTTTGGCTTTTAGATGACATGTGAAGATGGATTACGACATTTTAGGAGCACTCTCATCTGTTGTAGAAGAACGATGTAGAAGACAGATGTCATATAAGATATAAACAGAAAAAAGTTAATGCCAAAATGATATTGTTTTGTGATTATATCACATGTGCAACCTTTTATTGATTAATATATTTATTAGAATGTAAAATAAAAACATCTATTTTGTAAAAATATTTTCAAAATTTATTTGTAAAGAATTTTAAAAATATTACTCCCGAGGGTTTATAATAAATATTTCTATATTACCATTTAACAAAATAAGACTAATAGTAGTAGTATTTTTTTCGTCAAAATTTATGTAAATTTTTATTAAAACGTTCCCCTTTAACTTCAATTTAATGCAATAGAAACTAACGTATAATATGTTGCTTCAAAGTTCATGTCCTGTTGCTTTAGTGTTGGCTGAATGTTGATTTTACGTTGAGTATATTATGTTTTAAATTTCGTAATCTACACAAATCCTTTACCTCTGATGTGACATTTATTTTTTTACAAAAATAAGCTCTCTAGATAAAAGTAGTTTTTATTAACGAACAAATAATATTTTTTTTCTATAAATTCTACCAATTAATTAAGGTTTTCGTTACATTTTTTGTTGATAGTTTGTTTTGACGTCGGGAGGTCCTTAAGGTCAGTTTAGCATTATTACCTGCCTTATTATTATTAGTTGTCTAGAACCTTGTGTTAAGAGTAGGTCATTAGAAGGCTTGCTACTGTAGCCGCAGAGAAGGGATAGGACTAATTACTTTGAAAATAATGTTGGCAAAAAGAATAGTTCGAATTTGAGAGTCAAGGTGAAAAGACGGTAGGAGAAGTGCTCGTGAGGTTGGTCGTGGAAGTAAAGTCTACCAGAAGATCAGGGTTCGCATCAGTGTCGACAATGTAAGTACAATTTTAATTAAATAATACAGTACAAGGTTTATTTAAAGTGAAAGCAATCGTTTCCTTATTCTGATACAGCGATCTGGGTCTTATTGGTGACGATAGGATTACTCCTGGTATTAACAGAAATTCAATTATATACGTTTAAAAAATTAATCTTAACCTTAGTTGTATATAAATGTTATAAAAATTTACTTCAACTAATTTTAAATGAATTAACAATATCCATGAATCACATTTCCCACCAGTAGTTTTGAGTAAATTATTAAAACATTCTGATCATCATTGTTGATCCGTTTTTCCCTCCCGAGGTGAACAGATTTCTGTAACTCCGTCGACTTACCATCCCTCTTCTTTGAATATACTTCCATTCTTTTTTCCCATTGATCTCTCGTTTCTTTTGGACAATAGGGGCTTTTGTCAGATTTTTAAGGCTCCATAGTAGGGTGTTTCAAAGTTTTCTCGTGGTTTCGTTTTCGCTTTTTTGCAATTCCCGTCTGTAGAGCCGAGAACGCAATTAAAATTCTGGTCGGCAACGACCGCCTCCTACTAAGCAACATTGCCTCTTTCGTTCTTGACGCATTTCTCGCACTCAAAATTGATCGCTTCTGTATTCAGGTCTGATGGAACAAGGCTGCTAGGATTATCCTGCTTCTGGGGGTTGATTAACACATTTTTTTTCCCACATCCCTTCGTGACACATTCTGGATCCCCCCCGATATCACATCCTGTCATTCCCAATCTTACTGACTTATATTTCAAATCCTGTCATTGAAAATATTCACGATTTCATCTTTCGAAAATTCTGATTCTGCAATTTTACATTCTCGTTCCCATCATTCCTCTATTCGACATTCTGAATCTATTTATTCCATAATCTTAAATCCCTTCTTCTGTTATATCACCGGTTTTCGAAAAATTGGATATTTTTAGGATTATTCAAAATATCCACAGACATCCCTGAAGCGGGACTCAAATAGCGTATTAAATAGTACTGTTTAGTGCTTGAAGCTATGTTCGGATGTATATTGGTTAGGAAACACAGTTTGTAAAAAGAAATTAAATATTTTTTGTCAAACCTTTAGATAGATATTTTCTCTTCTCTTTTTTTGCTGAAATAAACTTTTGGCATCACGAGAAATATTTTTGATTTAATCTCGTTAAATTTTGGTACATGACTTGTATATATATGATATTTAGATTTCAACTTCTTTTTGGAAAAATACATATATCCTCGTGGTTTTGAAGTCGAAAAGCATTTCCCATTTCTACCGGAAATTATGGAAATGGGAAGACGTGCGTGTTTGACTCTCACCATAAGGAAGAAATTTATTGAATTTTAAAATACAATTTTTATAAATTTAATTATCAAAAAATTTTGATTGAATTAAAACAAAATTTTTATTATTCACACTAATTGATAAATTAAATTTTTTATTTTCAAAGAAAATATTTTACTACTATAAAATTTTATGTTATTTTCTTTCTTCCCATATATGTACACGTAAAAAATGTCAATTTTCTTATATACTTTCCCCCAAGTATAAACTAAAAGTATGGCCACATTCTTCGAACTTAAGTGTTTGCATTTAAATCATTCAAAGTTTGATGCTTTTAAAGTACTTGTGGATAAATAGAGATTGATGTCGTTATGTTAGAGATGAGGCTTTTACAGTCGAGTGTTGTAAAACTTTTTATCTTTCCTCATGTATCTAGATGCTTTGCAACATGATTCTTTGTGTACAAGTACAGAGATTTCATTGCGCAGTAGTAACAATTTTATTCGTTTGTGCTTTTTTATATTTTAGCCACGCACACGTGAATTTGGACAATATCAATAAGTATTATTTTTATTTTCTTTGCTTTTTATCTTTAAAATAAATATAAAAAGAGAGAAATAGTGTCAAAAGCATCTGGGCCATAGAATGTAGAAAAAACGACTATACAGTAGTAGAGGTAGAAATTGTTCGATACTTTAAAGAAAGATGATGAAGGTTTGAAAGTCTTTCAAAGCACTTTTTAAGTTATTTGTTTTTCGTTTCAACTTTTTTTTTGATATTTTTGAAAATATTCTGAATTCGTTA